AATTTTATTGGTCTCGGGGGTGTTTTTTCTGCATTCAAAGAATCAAAGAATATACACACATTATTACTTGTTATTTATTTGCCTCAATTTCTAACTTATTCTCAACAAAAAATAAATTCAAAACAAAATTATGTTATTAAATAATTCACAAAAATTAATTAAATTATTATTATTTATTTATTTAATTTATTTATTTTACCAATTATTTTCTTGCTAGTAAAGTTAGTATTTAGGTATATCACTCATTTTCTGTCATATTTTATTAACTTTTTTACAAATTATTTATTATTAAATATTTGTCCTTTTTATTTTTCATTTGTCTAGTAGATATCTCTAAAAAAATATTTTTTTTATTTTTTAAGACAGATGTGTAAATTTCCCCAGAGATTTTCTTTAAAAATATTTTTACTAATTTTTTTTATTTTTGATCAATCTTTGTTAAATCTTAAATAATTAAAATTAAAAATAATTTAATTTATTTTTTAGTTCATTAATAACAAAAGAACATCAAAATCAACAACAATCATTTGCTGAAGTTTTTCTATTTTCCTCCAATTATTTTACTGAAGAAGAATTTATTTATATACAAGAAATGGTAATTTAATTAAGGAAAGAAAATTATTATTAAATTATTATTATTAAAAATTATTATTATTAAAAATTATTAAATTTTCATTGAATCAAATATACAGTTCGGGAACTTTCCCTTTTTTCATTCCAAAATTATTTTTTAAATAATTATAAAATTAATTTTATTAACAGCTTTCTTGGTTACTAAATGGACCTCTTTCACTTCTCTTTGTTTTGTCAGGCATTGTACTTAATGCTTTGTGTGTACTTGTTTTTGTAAGGCTTAGAAATGCTGGGAGTTGTTCACCTCCAATAATACACTATTATTTAGTAATTTTTAAAAAATATATTTTTTTAATTAAAAATTCCTCCTTAGATTTCCTTAGCCTGTTGGCATTCAGCACTTTTATGTAATGCTTTCGTTCTTTATTGTTTGCCTACTTTACTTTGGGGATCAGTTATATCTACAGGCCCTTATGTCCATTTATATCCACCAACATATATGTTAGCTAATGCTACACACACTGGGACTGTTTGGATTGTTTGTCTTTAATTAATTATAAAAATTAATTTCTATTTAGGTATTAGCTTTAACCCTTGATCGTTATTTGGCACTTTGTATGCCATTCAAACATAGAATTTTTAGTAAAAGAAGGTAGATTTAAATTAAACTTTAAAAAATACTTTTTTATAAAATAATTCAAAATATTAAAAAAAGCTTTTCAAAAAAAAAATTCAAAAAAATTCAAAACTTTTTTTCAAATTAAAAAAATTTTTTTTTAATTAAATTTCAATTACTATTTTTAATTTTAAAAAATAATTAGGCAAATTATATTTCTAAAAAAATTAAAAATTAATTTTCAATTTAGCCGAGTAAAACGTTTGGTTGTTGGTTTATCCATTCTTGCCATTCTCTTTTCTTTACCACGATTTTTTGAAGTTGCTACAGCTGTTGAATGTATTAATACTTCAAAACCACAATTTCCCCCAACAACAAAAATACCTCAATTAATAAATAATTCTTTAATTAATTCTTCCTCTTCAATTCCTTCTTTAATTTTATCTTCCCCCACTCATTCTTCCTCTTCTTCTCCAATTATTATTGAATGTATTTCTTATGTACAAAGAACTGGATTACCTCAAGTATTTATTTAATTTAAATTACTTTTAATTTTTTTTTAAGAATCAACTTTACCGAAGTTTTTATCATATTTTGTTAGGCTCAACATTTGTTACTATCTTGCCTGGTAATTTCTGAGAAATTATAAAAACTTTTAATTTTTGCCCTACTAAACGTTCAGATTTCAAACCTCGAATAGGTAGCCCTCCCTCGATTAATTACTCCCTCCGGGGGAGGTAGAACAATAATTACCTAAGGTGGTTACTCCCCGAACTACAATAATTATATGTTCTATTTTCTAACCGCCTTTTCCTTGATCTTTAATAATTAATTTTCTAATTTAAAAAAAATTCTAATTTTTATCAAAAAAGGTCTTTTAACATTTATTTTAACTCTACGAATTACTATTGCATTGGGAGAAGCACAACGTTCCCGAAAACGTTTAAGTAGTCATTGTGAACAACAATTATTACGTTGTTCCTCAACAAATAATGAATATAAAAATATTATTAAAAATTGTTATAATGCTGAAAATAGTGAATGTTTTGGGGGTAAAGAAGAAGAAAAATCAACAAATAATTTATTTAATGAAAAACAGCAACATAAAATGATGCTTTTAGGGGGACAAAAAAATGGAAATATTTACAAAAAGAATAATTCAATTAGAGGGTAAAAATTGGGATAATTGAAAATAAAAATATTTTTTTAATTTTAAAGAAAAGAACATCGGGCTAATGTACTTATTGTGGTTATTATCGTTAAATTTTTAATTTCTGATATTTTACCGACAGTTTTGGATGTTTTTGAGACAGTAAATAAATTTTTAGAAAATTTTAAAGTAATTTAAATTTAAAAGTTTATTGGAAATGAAGCATTTATGTCTAGTCCAATGGCTACTTTATGTGTTGATTTTTCGAATATGTTATTAGTTTTGGTAATTTTTTCGAAGGAATAAAAAAAATAAAAATTATTTTCCTTAAAGAATTGTTCAACAAATTTTTGGGTTTTTATTTTTTATGTTAGAGGATTTCGTAATCGGTGTGCTAGACTTTTAACTTTGCCAATAAAATTATCTCCGACACCTACAACAATTATAGCTGATGGAAATGAAGTAAAATTAAATTTAAATGAAATTAAATTGAAAATTTAATTTAGAGTGCAAGTTGTGGGGTTATTTCCCCTCGAATAACTCCCCAATGTTCGGCAACAACAACGGGAACATTAGCTATAAATGGAGGTGGGACAACAACAATTAATACAAATCAACAGTCTGAAAATTCTTTTAAAAAGTTGGGTTTTCTTAAATTATTTAGAATACAAAAATTTCTAAAAATAAATTCTTTTTACGGGAAGGGATGGGGGAGGGGAGAAGAGGCTTAATAAAGTTATTTTTGATGGAAAAGTTAAAAATATATACTGGAGAATTTTGACCAGTGTCTCCAGTATATCTTAATATATGTATGGCTCTTAAATATGTATGGCTCCGGGACCGGAGCTGGCTTCGGTGGAGCCGAAGATTTTGAAATGCCCGGAGCCAACATGGAGCCGTTCCGAAAATCGCCGGGCCTGAGCCAACAAATGCCCAAAACACAGTACTGCTTTAGACTTTTCAGTCAGTCTTCTCATCCCTTAACCTTTAAGATTCTCTTAAAAGCTCTCAAAAATTTAATAATTTAAATATACCCTAAATACTTTAAATATTTTCCAAAAATACTTTTAAATAATTTAAATTTTTTTAAAGCGGCCTTCATATTAGAGATTCTTCTTCAATTTCTCCCAAACAACCACCTCATTCTAATCGTTTTAATAGTATTAATGGTTGTTCATTAAATACAAACAAAATAATTAATGGAAATTTAAATTCAATAGAAAAACAAAAACAAATAAATTTATTAAAAAGGAGAGCTTGTTCTTTAGCTATTGAACAACAAAATAACAACAAAATATCCACTAATTTATCTATGTTTGTTTTTTTTTAATTCAAAAATATTCTAAATATATTTTTAGATTACCTCAACAAAATAATATTTATTTATCTCAACAACCTTTAGCTATTATTTCACAACAAATATAAATAATTTTAAAAAAGGAAAAAAACTTTCAATTTGTGCTATTATAATTATTTTATTTAAATTTTTTTGTTATTTTTAAAATTAAATAATTTTATTTTTTTTCATTAAAATAAAATTAAATAATTAAATTTTAGTTAAATTTTAGAGTTAATTTAATAATTTCAATTAATTTTTTAAATTAAATTTTATTTCCAAAATCAATAATTAATTATTCTCAAAATTAATAATCAATTATAGGGAATTAGACAATAAAGACTTGATTGTCTTTAATTAATTTTTCCATTTATATATATACAATTAAAATCCCCCCTTCACTCTCCTCATTCTCTTAATTTAAAAAATTTACCTCTCTCTCCCTTTACCAAAAAATTATTTAAAAAAATTATTAGATAAATGTATTTATTAATTAATTATTTAATTATTTTAATTATTTTCCCCTTAAAAATAAATTGTTTTTGGCAAACAAAACATTCTTCAAAAGAATTTGAATGTTTGTCTGATTTTATTTTGTTAAAAGAAAATATTCAAACAGAAATTTTTATAAAAGAAATTTTTGATATAAAAAATATAATTTTAAAAAATAATTTAAAAAATATTTATTTAAATAAAAAAGAAATGGAAACAATTATGGGGAAAGAATATACAAATAATTGTTTTGGAAAAATTGATAAATTAATTAAAACAAAAAATAGTTTAAATGAAAATATTAAAATTGAAAATATTTTTAAATTTATTAAGGAAGATTATTTAATTATTTCTGAAGAATATAAAATTAAATTAAGTTTGTAGTTAATTATTAAATTGTTTTTTTATTATTAAAAATCAGAAAAGACCCCGCTAGTTATTTAAATAAGAAACCAACCCTTCGCTAGAAACCAGAATATTGGAAGGAATTAGGAAATACTTTTAAAATTTCTGACTTTTAAATTCAGAAATTTGGTCTAGTTCCTTACCCGAATTCTAATGTAATAAAGGAGTGACAATAAGTTAGTTAAAGGAGTAGGCCCAGATATTTAGTATAATGTCAATTTAGTGCTTAAATGAATAACAAAATAAAATAAGGAATGAATAAACCATTTTAATAAAAAAATATTTATTTATTTATCTATTTGAATATCAAATTAACTTTCTAGTTAATAGATTCAAATTTCAAATTTAAGCAATTATTCTGTATTTAACAATTTTCGTAAAATGAGAAGGAGACTTGAAGAATTCAGAAACTTTTTAAAAAAGTCTTAATGAGATCCTTTATTTTAAAATTCTTTTTTATTAATTTAGAAAAACAGTCTCATTGCTTGGCTAATTTTTTATTTGAAACATATGGAGCAGCCTATATTTCCTTTAAAGAGGACCCAGAATTTTTGGAAAATAAAGAAGATTTTGTTGATGATTATTACAGACTTACTTCTGGAGAACATTTTTATTTTACTTTAAAATGGAATTGGAATAAGCCAAAAGTAGAGGAAGGAAATAAGGATCATAAACAACCTTTAATTAAGCGTATATTTAATCAAGACCAGCCAGAATTTAAAAAACTTAAGGAATGTAATGACATTCTGAAAGTTCATAAAGGGTAATTATTTTATTAATAAAATTTTTTTAGTTGGATATTTTAAAAAAATAATTTTAAGAAGATTAAATAAATTTTATGGATTTTTGAAAGTTTTTAGTTAAATCCGAGATTATTGAATTTAAGTATGTAAAGCATATAGCTTTTAATTCCTAGGGCTATGTAGTAGGCGGCGTGGTGTAATGGTTAACACATCACCCAGTCTACTGAAGATGCTGGAACGCTCCCAGCCGCCGAATAACCTTTCGCACTAGCTAAAGGAGAGAAATAGCTATAGCTCAGCTGCTTTACTTTAGTTACTATAAAAAATTAATTTTTAAATTTTAAGAATATACAAAAACAAAAAAGGAAAAGCTTTTATTTATTTTGATAAAATTTACAATCGTTTTAATCCCAACCAAATTTATTTCAATAAAGTACCTCATTGTAAGTTTAATTTGTTTTTTAAATTAAAAATAGAATTTTAAATTTAGCTTTAAAAAATATTAAAATTAATGAAAATATTTTAAAAAACGGAGAGAATATGTGTAGTGTTTGTCACGAAGAATTTAAGATTGAGGAAGAAGTTAAACAATTAATTCCTTGTAATGTATGTAATTTAAATTTAGAATTTAATTAAAAAATTATTTTCTTAGCATATTTTCCATGAGAAATGTATTTTTGAATGGTAAATTAATTTAAATAATTTAATTTTTTTATTAAAATTATAGGATTGAAACAAAAAACTTCAAAGCAATTAAGAAAATTGAGGATAATGTTGTCCCTATTGTAAATATTTTTTAAATTTAATTTAATTTAATAATGCTTAAACAAAAATTCGTTTAGAAGAATATATTAAGTAGTGGAGTGGGATCTTAAATACTAGTGGGGAAGTTCTCCATTAAAATTTGTGGATAGACCAGATGCTTATAAGAATCACAGATAATAGGAAACGGAAATTTCCACTTACCATTATCCAAATACGGGTAACCTGAACCGGCAACGATTTTCCTGACAAATGATTGATGGTAAAGGATTTAGAAAAGGGTTTGCCACAGAGCAGGAATTCAATAATGTTACAATTATTGCGCTAAGTTTGGCTTAAAACTTTGCGGACTAAACAGGATTTTTCCGTCCCAGATAACCGGAATCGCCAACATTATTTATAGATTTTAACTCCTTCCCAGTTATTTTAAATTCCGTCAGATGAATCATCCTTACACACAACAAAGTTTTGTTAAAAAAAATTTTTTAGTTTCAAGTCATTCTTTTAAATGAAAAAGAAATATTTAAATTATAGTAAATTTATTTAAAAATAGTTTTGTGACTGCCCATTATGCCGTACTAAAATTATAATTGACCAAACATCAAACAATGTTCAACCTAATTTAGAAGAGAATACAATTGAAAATAAAGATTATGATTCAAATTCAGGCTTTCATAATATTTCTGAAATAAATGAAAATTTCAATGAAGCAGAAGTAAATAAGCCTAATGAGGATCTTTTAAAACAAATAAATTATTTCGCCCGATTCATAGGAGATTATTAGGTAATTATAATTAATTAAAATTTAATTTATTAATAATTTTAATAGATTACAGCTATAATTGAAGTGAAAAGAAAAATTGTATATAAAATTGTGTTACCCGAAACCCGGACTTTTTTTGCCCCAAAACTCGACCCTAGAAATTTTTATGAACCCGACCGATATTTTTCATTTAAATTTTTTCAATCAAAGGAGGAAATTTTTCTCCTTGCTTTCCAAAATTCTTAATTTTTTCGCCTACAGCGATGAATTAGAAGAAATCTGATCAAAACATAAATCGCTTTTTTAAAGTTTTTTTGTATATTCTTTATTTTAGAGCCCAGATGATAGTATATTTTTTCGATATTTGCGAAAAAATATCGATCGAAAAAATTTGAAAATCGGAAAAAAATTGTACGTCATTATTTGTTTTTTATTTTTTATTTGAAAAACATTTTATGCTCTCAGAATTCTTTCAGATAAAATTACCCTGGTATTCCCTTTAATCCGTCCAAATCCACCAATATCCCATCTAATCGATCTTTATTTCATTGAACTATTGGGACTACTTTGTTATTCATTGTTTATAAAAAAAATTTTTGAAAAATCGAAAAATATCGAGTCTTTTTTCGATATTTTCGGCTTCGAAATATTTTATATTTATCGAAAAATATCAACCAAGAAAATTTTAACTTTTTCGATATTCGGTATTTGTGATATTTATATATAGAATATCGACCGACCCTTCCGCCCGGGCTCTATTTTATTTTTCCTGATATTTTTCAATATATTTTGATTAAATTTAAATGTATTATACATATCATTTTAGGGCATCTAAATACCTACATTTATTTAAAGTTTTTTAAATGTTTTTAGTTTTTGTCGCGTTACAGTATTCACTCATTAATTCCCCGGGGGAATTAATAGCATCATTTTTTGAAAAATTTTCATAACTTTTGATAAAATTATTTGTTTGTTAAAATTTTTTGTACTATAAGGAAATTTTCGATGTTGAATCAGCCTATAAAAAAGATAATAAAATCAAACAATCGTATGACGAGGGTGGGGAATTAAAACAAATTATTCGAGGGTGGGAAAACGTTACCAGCAGGACAGAATTGAACCTCTTATTGGAAGAGACGTGCTAGCACGCCTTAAGATTTCGATAACTACCTACATATTTAGTTATTTTAAATATTAAGACTTTTACAAATACTTTGCAAATTTGTGAATTTGCAAAGTACATGAAAGATCAGGTGCATCTACAAGTATTAATTATCCAAATAGTTATCAACAAAATTGTTTATTACGTTATAATTTAGGACGGATCCGGATCCGCAAAACTGTCCAGGTTCAAAAAAGACTTCAGTCGGGATGTTCCTTCTGAAAATGTCCTTCTGTAATTTCATAATTTTTGCTTGCAGGGCTAAAAAAGGATGCATTCTGGCTTCTTCGTCTTGTATAAATTTAAAGATTCGCCTACGATGTTAAAAAGAGATGAATATTTGCTTCTGGGCCTTTATACTTTATAAGTTTTGGCGTTTTGCGTGTTTCTGTATTGAATAATAAAGTATCATTTAAATTTCTTAGTCTTCTTCGTCACAAAAATGCTTTGTATGGAGAAGCAGAACTTTCCAAGAAGTGATTTTCCAAGACTTAATCCTTACTTATGATTCTTTATTCAAAACAATTTTTAATTAAAGTCAGGAATATTATATAATTATTTAAATAAATTATTTTGAAATAATTCTTAAAGTTAAATATTTTGAAATATTTAAAAATAAATTTTGCACTTAGCTAATCAAAAAAATATGTACTTTTACATTTTATAAAAATGTGTACTATTAATGCCGATAAAATTAAAATATATCCTATGTACCTACATATGTATAATTTTTTATTTAGTAAATAAATAACAATTTAGTTTTTTAACTCTTTTTTTTATTTATAAATTTTAATTAAAAAAATGTATTTAAAAATAATTATTTTTATAAAATTATTTTTATTAATATTTCCCAATTATTATTCAAAAAACATTATTAAACCTAACCAAAAAATATTAATTGAAAATTCGAAAAGAAATATAAAAGACGATGGAAATTTATTTATTAAATTAATAAAAATGGAAATTACAAAAATGAATCAAAATAATATTAATTTAATTAATGAATATGGGGAAGTAATGGATAATTTACTAGAAATTGATATTGAAATAAATTTTGAATTAAATAATAATCATTTAATTTATATAGATGGTAATATATACAATGGTAATATACCTAATTCTTAAATTATTTTCTTTTACTTGTAAATGGGCTCGATCTGATAAAATTGTATTCGAAAAATAATGTGCCAAATATCGGATCTACCCCAATTTTATTTTTTCTATTTAATTATAGCGAGTTTAAATATGCAAAGTCGAAGACTTGTTTTTAGATATCAACTTGGGGCTTAAAAATCGGACCTTATTATAAGGTATCTTCTAAGGAAATTTTTTTTGAAAAATTTCTTAAATTGAAGAGTACCTAATTTTGATTGCATTTAAAAATGAAGTTCGACCGTAATAGTATCCTAAAAAATAGGATGCTAACTGAAGTGATATAAAAATTAAAAAACAAAATATATTGTAATAAACGATTATTCAGATGCTTGCTTTGAAAACGGAAAAAAATTTTATAAAAGAAATAATATTGATATTAAGCTATTAAAAAATGGCTCGGAAATAAAGATTATTAGAATTAAAGAATTGTTTGAAGATGACCTTAGTGATGAGACTTATAGAGAAGGATTGGATATTTGTTTAAAAGAAGAAAATATGGAAGGAGGAATTGTAAGTTTTTAGTCAGTTGAAATTAAAATCTTCAACATATGTACAGGGTGACCCAAAAAGTTTAGGACAAAATTAATTTTGCCAGAACTTTTTTTCTCATTTATATTTTTTAATATTTTTCCGTTTATTTTGTAGCTTATTTATTTCTCTATCACATAGTAAAATTAAAGATTTTTTGATTAAGGATTAAGAAAGTTATGAAATATTAGGTATACCATATCAAAACTTTCCCCCCAAAATTTTATTTTCTGTATCTCAGAAAGGAGAAATCCAAACAGGATGATCTCAACAGAATTTAATTAAGATCATTAGCGAACCGGACAAATATGAAAGATGAAAACTCCAAATCCTACATGGATGTCTCTAAATAGATGTAAATCAGTTTTGGGGGGAGCGCGATTTTCTCATTTTGGGAGGGTTACGCGGAATTGAATATCTCTTTAAGCATTAATCTCTATAATTTCATCTTTATTTGATCTCATTATCTTTAGTTTGAATTAAGTTATTGCATGAATAGTCTGTCCTAAACTTTTTAGGTCACCCTGTATGTTGGAATTAATTAAAAACCCAAACCTCACTATATGTAGAGAAAAAAATTTGTGTTTTAAATAGAGTGTGTTCATTAATAAAATATTATTTACACAGTCTCCTTACCTGTGGACAATCTAATTAAAAAATTAATCTTAAATTAGAGGTTACCCAATGAGAAACGCTTAAGAATTGCAACTCCTTTCTGATAATAAAAGTATGGTCTTGATGTATAGGGAGTCGACTCAATAGAAATACATAATTAAAATCATAAAAATTAATTTATAGAAAATGGTAACAATTAAACCAATTTTTTATGCTAAAATGGAAGTAAATGGGACTGGTGAAGAGGATATAAACATATTAAATGTAAATGGAATAGATACATATCTTAATGAATGGAGAGATAAACAACACAAATTAACAAGATTAATTTGTTATTTGAATCCTGAAGGACCTAAAAAATTAATTAAAAGAACAAAATATAATAATAATGTATTTCCTCTAAGATTAAGTATAACAACATGTATAACATTTAAAAACAAGCCATTTCCGGAGTTAATGAAAAATTAACACTTAATATTTTATGACCTATGTAATATTTTATGACCTATGTAGCTTATGGGATCCCAAATTGTGATCCCATAAGCCTGTAAATAGGCTAACATGTAAGCCCAATTCCCACTCCTCTCTTGGAGCGGGAAAAATTCCCACTCCTCTCTCATTATACAAAAAAAATTCACCGTCGAGAGACAAAGTGATAAACTTTCAAGTTAAAAAAATCACTCCAACGCCCCCAAAAAGTGACAAAAATGTAATTTATTAAATAAACTCATTATTTTTCAATGATGAATTTTTTCTTGATTATGAGATGAAAAGTATCTTGTAGCAAATTTTAAGGGCTTTCAGATAAGCCCAAAATAAAATTTTTATTTCACCTGTAAGGTGTCGAAAATATTTTTTAAAGACCTTTACCCCCGTTTTACGTTGATTTTTGGATTTCGAGATCTCGATGATGGGAGTACATAAGAACTTCATTTCTTTTGTATTTCTCATCTATATTTTTGTGGATTTTTTGACCGTAAAACAAAAATTTTAATAAAGGGGGGTTATAATTTATTAACACTAATTTTTTGCAAAAACGTCCATAAAAAAGTTTTAGATCAGAAATTTTTAAAGATATTTTGTAAATATTATTTAATATACATTACAACCCTACTGCAAAAATTTCAGAACAATCCAACAACGGGAAGATAGAGAAACACAAAAAATTCAAGGGGGGTTATAATTTCTTAACACACTGTATAAGTGATCCAATATGTAGCTTATGGGATCACAAATTGTGATCCCATAAGCCTGTAAATAGGCTAACATGTACGCCCAATTCCCACTCCTCTCTTGGGCCCGTACAATAAAAAAGGAGATAAATGCGACAAGGCCATCCGTGCTAAAAATTTTTTAGAGGAAATACATTATAAAAAAATAATAGAAAATAGATAAAAATATTTTTAATAAAATAATTGGAAATAATAAACTTGTTGAAAAACAGGGATATTCTCATATAGAAATTTGTATAAAATTTGAAGAAAAAGGAATTTTTTTTATTAATTTCTATTCCGAAGGAACAGAAGAAGAAATTAAATTTTTAATTAAAATTGAAGAAGAAAATGAAGTAAAATGTGTTTCTAAAATGTTTTTTGAATTAAATGAAGTTGAGAAAAGAATTTTTAAAAATTTAAGAGAAAATTTCACAATTTATACAAACAAAGCAAAGAAAGGAAAAAAATATGAAGATGGAGAAATGGTTATTTTGGATGAAAATAATGAGGAAGAAATAGTATTTGAAGACCCGATTTATATTTTTGAATTACAGCCTTTATTTAATTTTGGAGTTTATGATTTTGAAATATTTAATGAAAATAAGAATAATATTAAAAAAAGAAAAAGAGAAGAAGATAATGAATGAATTGGAGAAGGTTCTAAAATTGTGAAAATAAATTGAAAGATTAAATTTTTAAGTAAATAAATAGTGAATGATTTTTTAATTTGTAAAAAAACAAAAAACATGTTAGCAACAAATTTTAATTTGAAAAAATGTTATAAATTAAATTACAAAAAATATATATAAAGTCAATTGATATATGTAGTTTAAAAATCGACTATTTATTTAAATCTAAAGTGTTTAATTGTTGTTTAAATGTTTAAATTTGGGGTAATGACAGTATTTCGGGTGGTGGTTCCCAATTGTATGGATCAAGTTTGATCACTCGTAAAAAGGTTAATTACAAGGCAATAAATTTCCATAACTTGAGCTGGCGTAGCTGCCTTGAAAATCCGAGAAGCCATTTTCTTCCTTTTTCAGCCTTTTACAAATGGCAAAAATTTGAAAAATATGGCAAATGTAGAAAACATAGAATAGAGCAAATGCCATGTACACACTGCCTAAATCTTTTAACAAAAAACTTGAATCCAAAAGGTTTAGGTTTTGTGAAATTAATTGAAGTGGATAATTAAGAACAAATCATTTGACGTTAAGCAATTTTTGGGGTTTTGGAATAAAAAGGATATTGAGAAAAACAATCTTTCTTATAAAAGATTTTAAAAAACCACCGCCGAGTTTCACATTAAAATTGTCATGGGTTTAATTATATATTTAATTTTTTTAAAATTAAAATAAATTCAAAATATATTTTTTGATTAACTTTACTTCTTTAAAATAAATAAAAAAAAATATTTGGTAATACATATAACAAAATATAAAATTAACAAAACAAAATTAGCAAAACAATTAATTCATCGAAAAATAAATTGAAAATTTCCATTTAAAGATAATTTCCGATGTAATTCAACAGGAGAACATACATAACGTAAAGCTAAATCATCTAAGGAATATTCTCCAGTACATGCAGCGGCAATTCTTTTAAAATATTTTAATTTTAAATTAAACTTTGAAGTAAAAAAAAAATAAATTTTTTGAAAGAAAAAAAATATTTTAACTCAAAAAATATTCCATGTTTTCGAATGATTTTTCATTCTCCTCTTTTCCCCTATTCTCCTACATCCACGTTCCCCCGCAAAAAAAGTTGATAAATCGGGGAGTCGAGAAATCAAGACATAATTAATCTGTGCAGATTTCCTGAATAAAATTTAATCCTTTTATTAAATATGCCAGAGTTATATTAAGGAAGGAAAAAACTATTTCAAATAGAGATCGGAACGGGTACGGGACCCGGACCCGTTTCCCAGTTTTTGGGTCCATTTTCACGTTTTTTTGAGGCCTTATATATTTTTTGTACTATAAAAAAATTTTTGATTCTGAATCAATCAATAAAAAGATTATAAAATCAAACAATAGATATAATTAAAATTATTTACTTAGTTCCATCCTCATGTAATGCAACAGGATATATATTTAATTTTCGTATAAATCCATGATAAACCCCAAATTGAATTAATTTTCTTTCATCAATATTTAATTGCCTTGGAGACATTAATAAAAACCAATTATGTAAAGTAGCTCCATGCTTTGAAAATAAAATGTATTTAAAAATAACTACCTAATTATTATACTTTAAGTCCCAAATAAAGTCTAAAAATATCTGAGGGTCTAGTAATTGGTGCATTTGAATCGAGAATAGAAAAACGTTGGCAACGCTGTTAAATTTAAATTATTTAATTGAAATTAAATAAAATTTCAAAATTTCCCACCTCAACAATTCCCGGACTTTCAATAAAATATCTAATCTTTTTAGTTGGAACATAACAATTAAAATATAAAAACATTGGTAGTAAACGAATACATCCATAAAAACATAAATTTCGAATACAACGAGCAACTAGATCAGCTTTAAAAAAATATTTTTTTTAATTTATAATTAAATAATTTACTGTCAATTCTAACAACACAAGCAATATCTTTAACACAACGAATTCCGTCTATTTGAGGGCAAATCTGTTAAAGATTATTTAAAAATATTTAATTTAAAATTTACTTTTTGAGAAAGTACATCCATTCTTTCAAGTTGTGATTGCGAGGTAGGAGGGGGAATTCTAGTAAATATAGGCACAGAAAATGGGCTGACTAATGGAGGTTCTACTCCACGAGAATTTGAAAATAATTTTAAATAAATTGTTGTCCTTTCTGTTACTGTATAGAAACATTCTCCTGTAAAATTATTCTAATAATTTTAATAAACGATTTTTAATTTTGCCTTTATTATTTAATCCAAGGAATATTTCTCTCATTAAAACTGGAAGACGCAATTTTTCTTCAGAAATGAATGATCGTTCCTAAAACAAAAAAAATATTTTTTTTAAATTATTTTTCTTTATTTTCCCCCCACTTTTTCTAATTCAACCAAATATTCAGCACATTTTTGTACCAAAGGTTCATATATCCAATCACATTCAACTTGTCTAGAAATAACAAAGCACATGTTGAAAATAAGAATTTCACGAGGATATCTTTTGTCCTCTTAATAAAAAAAATAATTTTTTTTCAAAAAATTAATAAAAAATATTTTTACTCATTCCAATTGGATATCCAATAATTTTATTTTCAAACATATTTACGGTAATCATTCTGTCACGCATCTTAAATAAATTTATCAAAATTTTTAATAAAAGACTGTCACCTCCTCGGATGGGATAATTGCAGAAGAAATTGACTCAAATCTTTGTTTATCAAAAACTTGACAAGGAATCTGGAAAGGAAAAAATAAAAATAATAAAAATTTAAGTCCCGGTAATAATTGTCCCGGTAATATACATATATAAATTATAAAAATTTAAGAAAAGTTCAAATATTTTAGCTGATAAATAGAATTTTTGTTTTTTAAACAGTTTTTTTAATTTTTTAAACTGTCAATATTTTTAATGATTAATAGCAAGTTAAAAATAAAAGTAAAATCGAATTACTTAATTAAAAATTAATGTTAGATGATATTTATGTGATTATAAGGGCAAGCACAAGAGATAATTAAAATAAGGCAAACGGTAATAATATTCAAGTTTAAAAACCACAAAAAACACCTGAAATCTAAGAACACGTCCAATATCATTATCGAATTCAGCAAAAACAATAGCCCGTAACTTTGGAAGTTCTGGTGCTTGAAAATGACGTTCAGCAGCAGAAGAGGTTGTTTCATTAGGTAAAGACTTTGAAGCATTATCAGATTGTTGTTGTTCTTCTATTTCACTTGGTCTGCGAGCTTTCGGGGCCAAAATTGGGAACATCTGGAAATTATTTTTAGAAAAATTGTTGATATAAATTAGTTGTTGTTTAAATATATTGGTTGTTTGATTTTAAGTTAATGACATGTTTTAAAAATGAGTTGATAGCGAAGACAATGCAATTTATATTTTGTTGTTCTTTAAATATTTAGAAATTTATTTGATTTTTTTGAATTTTTTAGAATTATTTTTAAAATAATATTTTTTAATTAAAATTTTTAATTAAACTTGCCTTGTTAATCGGATAATTAGTAAATAGACGGAAATAAGCAGACAATACACCAATAAGTGAAAAAATAAATAAACCAAAGACGGAGCAAATAGGCCAACGTTGCCACCTAAATTTAAGAAAAAATTGAAGGACATTAACAAAAATATTATTTTGATAATAAATTTGATAAAAATTAAAATAAATTTATTTTATTAATTTATTTTGATTTAACACTTTTCCCTTTTCTTTATAAATTTTTTAGAACTTTTTTGACAAAAAAAAATTTAAAATACAACTCTACCAACGATTCCAATCTAAAGGAACAACAAAAACACCAATCCAAGAACCAATTAAACTACCAAAAGCAACACGAGTAGAATATAATTGAGAAATAGTTTGTGGACTAAAATTTAATTTTTTTCTTAATTAAAAATAAATATTTTTACTGATTATCCCAACAATTCCAGAACTTTTCAGCACTTTCAGAACAAGAGATGTTTAAAGGTAAGAATGTAGTGGTAGTTAAAAGAAGAGCAAAAAGGAAGGTGTCAAAACTAGAATTTAAATGAAAATTATTAAGTTATTAAGGCTTATTTAATAAAAGCTTTAAAGTATAAAATCGTTAACAATTTTTTATATGAATTTAAAAATAATAAAAACACCTAAAAATTTGAGCTCCAAAGAAAAACGCTAGAAAATGGAAAACTATAGTTGTGCAAAAATATCCACGCGTAAAGCGTCCAATTCTAGTGTTCCGCATAAAATGCTTGAAAAATAACTTTAAAAAAGAAAAATATTTAAAAATAAATATTAAAAATTCGTTAGCAAATATATAGGCATTTAATAAAAATAAAATAATTTTTATAAAATTTATTAAAATTTAAAAACAAAAACAAGTAATTTTAAAGTAAAACTTTAAATTCAAATAAATTAATAAAAATAATTTTTAAATAAATTTCTAACTAACATTAAATATAATCCACAAAAATCAGATAATCAATCCTAATTCAAGCATTTCAAAAATTGGCTGTCTATGCATCAGTATTGGAGGTGGAGGGGGTAATACTTCAATACTTTGTTCCTCACTACTTTCGATTTCCATTTTAGCCTCTTTAAGAGGTGCTAAAATTAAAAAAATATGTATTTGCATAAAACAAAAATTTTGAAATTCTAAAAATTACCTGTAGATGTAGAGGCTTGACGCCGTCTTCTTCCACTAGTTGAAGGACCCAAACTCTGCGTTTGTTGAGAAGTAGATGCACTCAAAACTTCTCGTTTTGGAGAAAGTAATTGGATCTTAAATATCAAAAGAATTTTCCAAAAAAAAAACTTAAACTTTATATTTTTACCTTTCCTTTATTGTCTTGCTGTTCACTTTCTAATTTTTTCTGAGATATTTGCTTTTGTAAAAGTTTAAACATTCCAGTTCCAATTCCAATAGGTACACCCATTATTATACATTCACTAACACCCACAATTCTGTCTTTTTGTCCAAAAAACGCTGCTTCATATCTGAAAAATTTTTTAATTAAAAATCAATTTTTTAAAATTATTCTAACAAATGGTCAATTGTTCGTTCAAAAGAAGCCAACAAAAGCACAGATTCCTTCATTTTTACAAGCCCATTCCTTGTAATACCAAGCACCTCGCCACTTGAAAATTAAATATTTAAATTATTTAAAATGTATTCAAAACCGATATGTCATCAAATCAGCAAGTAACATAACATGTCGACGATCTAATTCAATTCCGTGTTCACTCATTGTATTCAGAATTTCAGAAATTATTGAACCACGAGCGGCTTCAATCCCCAATACTTCGGCAATAATAATTGCATTGTTAAATCTAAAAAAAATTTTCTTTAACGATAATTGAATGAGATGATGCGTGAAATGATGAGAGATGAATTGTGGCACAAATGATTTTAAAATAAACTTTTAAAAGATTCAAAATCTTCAGAACAAAAATTTTAAATATTTTTTCATTTCCCAAAAATTCTTTTGACTTTTTAGTAGGTTATAATGATCTTTTAGAAAATAAAGCTACCTTGTCTTAATTCCATTGACTTCATTCAGCGCCAAAACCTCTTTAAAGCTTGAACCTTCAACAAACAACTGAAAAGATTCCCCCTTCTTATCATCAGCATTAATCACACAACGAGTAACACCGGGAATTCCTTTAATTGGAACTGAAATAATTGTTTATAATTTCAAAATAAATGTAAGAAATTATCCTACCAGTTGGTAAATAGTATTTTAAATAATGCATATACATTGCCATTGAACATTTTCCTGTGTCAACTGGTCGAACCAATATTATTGACTTTCCAACTGTTCGAACCTTAACATGAAAAATAAGGAATTGAATAGATAATTTAAAAAAAACCTGTGAAGATTTTATAGAAGGGATTGGTAAACGTGCAGAACAAATTGATTGGATAATGGAATCAGGTGTAACTTCTAATTGGAGTTCTCTTATACGACGAACATTTAATTTAACAAGAACAAACATATCATCAGGAAGGAAAATCTGTTCAACATATTCGCTAACTTCTCCTAAAAACTTAGAATTAAAAAATTTTATTTTAAAAATTATTACCTAAAGTTGTGCGTTCAATACGTGCTTTTACACGTTTTGCTAATTTATCATCCTTATCATTTGACAAAGCTACTGTTATTATAGGAGTTGAAATACTGCGTACTGCATTGATTATCCTTTAATATGAGTAACTATTGCTAAAAAATTTTTTTGTAAAATTTTATATACTCTTTAATTCGTGGCACTCCTTGCGTAATATTCATAGAAGCAACACCGGCAAAGTGGAAAGTCTTCAAAGTCATTTGTGTAGATGGTTCGCCAATTGAAGTAGCAGCAACTGCCCCAACAGCAGTGCCTTTTTAAAATAAATTTAAATATTTTAACAAAAAAAAATTTAAATTACCAGGTTCAACAATCGCTCTACGAACTTTTCCTTGGCAAAGCAGAAGAAATTGACGGATCTGAGCTAAACTAAGGCCATTAGAGCGAAGCTGGGCCTGTCGGCGAAATCTAAAGTCTTCACAGGTTTTGCAACAGACTTTACCAGAACGAGTTCTAAATAAAATAAGAATAATTTTTAAAGAAATCTGTCCTATTATCTCAAAAGTATAAAAATCAAACGTTGGAGACATATATGCTCTGTGTCGTTCACAATTAACTTGTAATTGTAAAAGTTTTTTGTTTGCGTTAAAATGTTTGCAAATAAAATCATAAAGCCCATCGGCGAATTTATTTGTAACCAATAATTGTTTGGTTTTTGTGTCTTTTATCTCGTTTTGTATTGAAGCAAGTGATAAATCAATTTCTTTACGTATAATATCAAGACTATCCAATTCATATACAGAAGCATCATTAGGGTAATCAGTTTGTTGAGATAATTCTCTAAAGAATTTTTTAAGTATTCTAAAAATTAAAATAAAATTTCAAAATTTTACTTTTGAGTACTTTTAACTTGATTGAGAAGATGGGACAAATCTAACAATTTTCCATCACGAGCCTCCATATAAGACGGATCAAGTCCATCATCGCCAAATACAAACTGTACAACTTCATTTGTTGATGTTCGAACTGTGTTGTCATAAGATACAACTAAATCCTAGAAAAATAAATATTAGTATCTCATCACGGTTTTCTAAAGATTATATAATAAACAAAATAAAATATAACCTCCAAACATTTGACTAATCTTCGCTGCATATAACCAGTTTCTGCAGTCTTTACTGCTGTGTCTACCAAACCTTCACGACCACCCATTGTGTGAAAGATAAATTCTGTTGGAGTAAGTCCGGAGTAGAAAGAATTTTCTACGAACCCCTTAGCATCTGGAGATCGATCATTTTGTTCGAAATGAGGTAATGAGCGATTCTAAAAATAAATAAAAAAATAACAAAAAATAATATTGAAAAATTGCCTCAAATCCATCAGACGGTCTTTTTCCAGAAATTGACTGTTGTCCGACAAGTGCAATCATTTGAGCAATATTAATAAATGAGCCTTTAGATCCACATTGTGCCATAGTGAGTGGAGTATTGTTTTTACTATACAAGAATAATATTTAAAAAAATTAAAAGAAATCAATTTTACCTCAAAAATTCACGACATGCCTTTCCTGCTTGATCACGAATATTAGAAAGTTCTTTCAGAATTTTTGCTTCCAATTCTTCCACCAAGCCAAAATCTGGTTTTGTTTTCTGTTTTTCCATTTTCATTGTTTTATTTAATTGATCACAAGTTTTGTATCCATTCTCGAGAAGTATGCGTTTTTCGTCCAAAAGTTGTTGGTTCGGCCTAACATCACCAATGCCTTTAAATATGCAATTTAACAAATTTAAAATTTTGTAAAGATTTTTACCGATAGAAAATCCACGATTTGATAAATAAACGCCAGAAAAGCGAGCTAATCTCCACATAGCATCGATTGCATGTTGTTCGCCCCAATCACGAAGGAGGGTATAGAAAATAGATGTTTTGCTTTCAGACCCCAAAAGAGTTTTGTCAAGTGAACCGCAAAGTAGTTGATTATTTCGAATAATAACATATGTATCCTATAAAAATTATTTTAATAATATCTTAATTAAAAAAAATTTGAGACAATTTCCGTGTTAGCTGAATTTGAATTAAAAACTCAAAGTTATTTTCCCTTAATTTTAAAAATAAATAAAAACTGACTTTATGAGTAAATTCTCCATCATCTGGATTATGAATTTTATTTTTAGTTGACAAATTTAATCGAACATTTGAATCAACGAAAGGTGCAATTACCAACTCGATTAACTAAAAATAAAATTTTAATTCATTTTCAAAAAATATTCTTTCTCACTTGTTTTCCAGTCCATAATTTAATAGGCCAAATTATAGCAGGTGGTGGCAATCTTATCTTTCTTTGATTTATTTCTGTAATGTCGAGAAGTGTAGCAGAAATTCGTTGAACTTCACTATGCGTTAAAAATGTATCCTTTTTAGTAAGTAAATGACCAGCTGTGATAAAATCTAAAAAAAATGTAAAAATTTGTTATAGAAAACCATCTCAATTACCCTGAATTGCAGCTATTAAAGGCTGTCCAGCACGAGGACTAACCAAATTATGCTTAACGCCCATAAGAAGCGATGATTCTGCTTTTGCTTCATAAGTTTGTGGAAAATGCACATTCATTTCATCACCATCAAAATCAGCGTTGTATGGAGTACAAGCACATTCATTGAATCTAATATTGCATAAATAAATAATCGCAAATAAAAATTAAAAATGCCTGAAAGTCCTGTATGGCATAACTTTAACACGATGAGACATTATACTAATTTTATGTAGAGAGGGTTGTCTGTTGAAAAGAACAACATCTCCATCTGACAAATGACGCTAAAAATAATAATTATTAATATCATGTTAAAGCTTAAAAATTTTAAATGCAACTATGCGTACACAAACTTGTTAACAAAAATTAACAAAAGAATAACCAGAAATAGAGTATGTTTATGCCACTAAAGTCGGGATATTTGTTATCGTTTTCATTCTATAAACCCCTTTTCCAATAAACATTAACATTTACAGCAGCCCTAATCTCAATAATACTTTAAAAAGAAAACCTCAACAGTATCACCAATTTGTAAATTTTTTGCAGTAATAGCACGATTTCCATATCTAAAAAAGACATACTATTTAATATTTAATCTGATATAGTTAACCTTAAAGAGCGTTTATTTCCAGTTTTACAATCAATTATCTGATTAGCACCAGGATGAACTAATTCCCCATTAATTACGGCTTTCCGTAATCTTTCGATATTTGAACGACATACAACCTCAGGAAATGTAAGAGTCATTGCAACTTGTAAGGGAACTCCAACTTGATCAATCTACTTGGGAAATTATTTTAAATTAATAAACAACATAAAAGTTTCGATTAGAGGGAAGTGAGCAAAAAATAATTCAAAAAATTCTATTTTATCCCGCCAATTATTGTATCAAGAATTTTTTCAAACCTTTAGATTCGGATCTGGTGAAATAACAGTTCTTGCAGTAAAATCCACTCGTTTACCAGATAAATTGCCACGAAAACGACCATGTTTCCCTTTTAAACGTTGAGCAAATGAGCGTAAAAACTTTTTTGGTTGCATTTCTGGAGGAAGTCCACTCATTTCAGAATTTATATAAAGAGCACATTGCACCTTAAAAATTAAAAAAATATTTCTAAAAAATATTTAGATACCTGTAAATGATCCCATGTTTCACAAATTGTTTTCATTGGCGCTCCATCTTTTTTATGCTTCTTGAGAATGTCGTTAATTAACATAATTTCAGTCAATTTCATTGTGATGTCATCCTAAATAATTTTAAAAATTTTTTTTGAAATTAAAAGTTACTTCATTAGAGCCAGATTTTAATTCAGAAACAACCGACGGTCGAATACACACAGGTGGAACAGGAATTCTTTGATTTAAAAAATGTAACGGATGTTTACATTCATCTGCCCCGATCATTAATAACGGTAAATCCTTAAATTTAATTTTAAAATTAATTTTAAATGTTTATTTTACTTTTAAATCAATTCTTTTAAAAATTTCCATAACTTTTAGGGGATCAAGCAAATTTTGTTTTGAACTAGAAAGTAATTGTTGTAGCTCATTTCTGTCTTCAACGGCTGCCAATATTTCAGCTGAAAGTGGTTCATGGTGTGCAATTTTTAAGACAGAACCGACAGCTTTTTTGACGACTCCTTAAATTAATCATAAAATATCTAAAAAAAATATTATTTTATTTTTTGGAAAATGGATAAGCCGATTAGGACGATTCAAGAAAAAATCTGCAACAATATTAAAAAGTTATCTAAAAGTTAAAGGGCATATTTAATGAAAAAGAAACAAAATTGTAATATTAATCAAATTATCACGCTTTATTTTATATTTCTATTACCTCAATAAAATTTAAAAATACTAATATAATTACCATTTAAAAACCCGCATTTTGCGCACATACTGATTTTTTTGCTCAAAGTAACAATCTTTTTCTGCAATGCCTTTTTGCGTAAATAATCAAGATTTGGATTAGATGCCTGTCGTAAAAGTAAAGATTTTTGTTCTTCTTGTAATAAAGTTTGACTGCAACCCTTTAGAATTAAAATTTGAAAAATAAAATTTCAAAAACAAATTACTTTACAAATACATTGAAGAGTTTGAATAATTAAACGAAAGAATCCAACATGAAAAACAGGATATTCTAGGTCAATAAATCCAAAATGTCCAACACAATCATTCATATTTTTGTTACATGTTTGGCAATTGAGTGATTTTTGAAATGTTCCCTGAAAAAAATTCGGTAATAACAAGGCTCATCCCCCTTTTTTGTTTCCCTGACCATTTTGAGCTTTTTTGCTTGCCATACAATTTACAATATATCATTCGAGATTTAAGTCTGACTTCAAAGATATTAGTACCGTTCGACTCAGCTCAAAGAGCTCTTCTGAATGGATATAATTTGCCATGGAAAATGAAAAAATAGAACAGAAAAAATGGAGGCCAGCCTTGGTATTACCAAAAATTCATTAAAAAATAATTTAAAAAAATACAAGTCGACTATCAAGAGGTCCATATTGAGCAGGAAGCCATTTCCCTTGGACATCTTCATAAAGTCGATTATTAAATATTTGGATATGCGCTGCTTGTCTAATTAATTCTGTATTTCCTGCAGTGAATTTCACTCCAATACTTAAAATTAAAATTTTAAATATTTTTAGAAGTTAAATTACATACACTTTACGAGATGTATCAGCCTCCTTAAATTGTTCTTTTCCCATTAATAAATAGCTTAAATATAAAAAAAAATTTTTAAAAAATTTAATTTTTTCGAAATAAAAATTTTTTTGCTACAATAACGAAAAGGAAAATTTTTGTAACTTTGAAACGAACGATACACGGACACTTAGTCGCAGGTCCACTTAGTCGCAGGCCACATCGTCGCGAAGTAGCAAAAGTAGTTTTGCACCGGAACCGATATTTTGACCGGAACCGAAACCGGATCCAATTTGAATTCCGGATCCTGGAACCAGAATTTCTATTTTTCGAATTCTTTTGTAAAATTTCGATTTTTGATTTCGATATTTTTGGATTTCTTTTGATTTTAGATTTCCGATTTTCGAAGACTACTTGGCCTGCGCCTATTCGGTCGCGGGCGTACCCTTTTTTTTCATTTAGCGTTGTTATTTACTGTAGAATTTTAGAGAATTTTTTCATTTAATACTTTTGGATTCTGGTCGAAATTATAATTTCTGGTACTAACTCTTGGAACTTTTTCTGAAGTTTTATTTCTTCAAAAGGGTTAATGATACAGTGCCGGAAAAAAAGATAGGACCAGAGGCTGTTAAATTTGTTTTTATCGATTATCTCTTCTCTATTAACTTTCAGAAAAAAAGTTTCAACACTAAAATTGTAGATCTTTAAATGGTCTTTAAAAATGAGTATAAATATCAAGATAATTTACCCACAAAATTTTTTACAAAAAAATTTAAACGATACTACTTAATTTTTGTGGTGGAAAAAAAGATAGGACCAGACTAGAAATATCGACTTTTGTTCGGTCAAAAATTCTATAAAAATTTCTGTAGACATTTCCACCGATACTGAGTGGAAAAGTAAAAATAACGAAGTCGGTACCTTATTTCTTCATCGAGATCTCACATCTCGAAAATCAACGGAAAATTGGGGTACAGTACTTAAAAAAATATTTTAACCCCCTAGAGCTTAAATTAAAAATTTTATTTTAGGCCTACCTGAAAGCCCATAAAATTTGCTACAAGAATATCTCACGTTTAAAATTTCCGTTAAAAAATTCATGGAGATACGGACCGGGAAATTGAGAAAGTTATCTTTTTTGGGGTATTTTGGGAGATTTTGTCACTTTTAATGTAAAGTGGACTAGGGTTAAACGGATATTTTTTTAGAAAGATTAATTTCCGGACTATTTTGTAGTAAATTTTATGGGCTTTCAGGTAGGCCTAAAATAAAATTTTTAATTTAAGCTCTAGGGGGTTAAAATATTTTTTTAAGTACTGTACCCCAATTTTCCGTTGATTTTCGAGATGTGAGATCTCGGTGAAGAAATAAGTTACAGACTTTGCTCTTTTTAATTTTCCACTTAGTATCGATGGAAATGTTCATAAAAATTTTTATAGAATTTTTGACCGAACAAAAGTCGATATTTCTAGTCTGGTCCTATCTTTTTTTCCACCCCAAAAATTGAGTAGTATTTGTTTTTAATGTTTTGTATTATTAATTGCTAATAAAAAAGGGAATATTTGTACTCATTTGATAGAGGATAAATTAATCAATAGTTTCTGACAAATTTTTTCTCTTAAAAGACTAAAATTCGAAAGATAATTTGAAGAAAGGAAAATGTGTGCGTCTGGTCCTATCTTTTTTTCCGGCACTGTATGTAATTCAAGAGTTTAAAAATACCTAATACTATTGTTCTTATTTGCTACTAATTATCCACATTTTTTAGATAAATATTATTTTTAGTTTTAATAAAAAAAATTAAAAAATGGCTGATGATTTTGCACCGCCCGCAGATGGTTTTGCACCCGCTGAGGATAATTGGGCCACGGAAGATGTTGCTGGTGGGCAAGGGGATATGCAAATGACTACAATTGATTTTCCTGAAATTAAATTGTTTGGTAAATGGTCTTTGAGCGATATCGAAGTTAATGATGCTTCTTTAGTGGTTTTTTTCAATTTTGTTTTGAATTTTTAAAAATATTTTTATAGGATTATATTGCTGTTAAAGACAAATATGCCAAATATTTGCCACACAGTGCTGGTCGTTATCAAATCAAACGTTTTCGTAAGGCGCATTGTCCGATTGTTGAACGTTTGGTTTGTTCGATGATGATGCATGGACGTAATAATGGTAAAAAGTTGATGGCTGTTCGGATTGTGAAGCACGCTTTTGAGATTATACATATTTTGACTGGAGAGGTTTTTTTATTTTTTATATGTACAATCTAGGGGTTTGTTGTTTTAAATAAATTTAGAGCATTTTTTCTTTCTTGTATGAAGTCATTAGTTTATTTATACAGGCCCAAAATTTTTGTTTTCGAATATCCAGAACCGAATCTAATGAACCAGAAACTTATTGTCTAAACTACATTTTACCGGGGGATTTTAGATTTTGGCGAATTTATGGAATCCCTTACATAAGCCCTCCACGGAGAAAAGTTTCTGCTGCTGTGGAGTAAGCCGGGCCGCCAAAGCAATCATGACTCGTGTAGCGAAGAATGCCCGGTCTACCCTCCGTGGCAGCACAAAGTTTCTTTAGCGAAGATTTATTTGGTGAGGATTCGATTTTGGATATTACCTTTCCTTGATTTCTTTATTTCTTTTAAATTTTCATTAAAGACATTTTATAGAATCCAGTTCAAATACTTGTTGGTGCTGTTATTAATGGAGGACCACGGGAGGATTCTACTCGTATAGGTCGAGCTGGAACTGTTCGTCGTCAGGCTGTTGATGTTTCGCCTCTTCGTCGCGTTAATCAGGTTTTTGTTTGGAAAATTTTTCTAAGGGATTTTGAACAGTCTAATTTTTTAAAGCTTAAAAAGCCATTGATTATGAGCCAAATATATTTTTATATAAATTGCCTATCTTAATTTTACATAAAAATTTAATTCAAAAATTTTTAGGCGATTTGGCTTTTATGTACTGGGTCTCGTGAAGCTTCTTTCCGTAATATCAAAACAATTGCTGAATGTTTGGCTGATGAATTAATTAACGCGGCAAAAGGTTCGAGCAACTCTTATGCTATCAAAAAGAAGGACGAATTGGAGCGAGTTGCAAAATCTAACCGTTAAAAAAGGATAATATTGAAAAAGTTGGAAATTATGTTGTCTTTTGACTGTTAAGTTTTATCTGTTAAGGTCATTTGTTAATGAATAAATTTAAAAAAAATTCAAAATTTTAATTTGAAAATTTGTATTTTACAGAAAAATAAAATTTCAGTCTCTTATCCAGTGTATAATTTCCATGGATATTCTTTTAATGTTTCCAATAAGATAAGGGAGGAAGATAAGATAAATTGAGAAAAATCTCTCAGGTTCTATTAATTACAAACAAACTTTTCACTTTTTATTTACCTGGGAGCTTTTCTATTCTAAATTATCCACAATTGTTATTTTTTATATTCAATTTTACTTTTGTATAGTTACTACATTTTTGGAATGCAATTTTCTCTTTAAAGGTTTATCGATTAAACGAATAACTCTAGCAAGGCCTGCTTTCCGCTGCCAAAATCGAGGTCATCCATTCCCAACAAATACCCAAACCTTGCTGGTCATCAAAACATTAAATATATTTTGAATATTTGAAGACTAAATATGAGGGGGATAGAAAATAAAATTTTAAACAACCCCCCCCCCCCTTTAAAACTCCAAATTTTCTTATTTTCCTTCAGAAGTGCCCTATATAATATTTAAAAAATACCCTCAATTCTTTTAATATTTCCACAATTTTTCTCAAAATATATTTTTGTTTTAAAATTCTTTAGTAATGTTTTGTGTTTGTTTGTGTCAGCCTATACATACAAACATTTTTACTATTGCTAGTATATCTCTTCTCAAAATATTCGATTTTTTGACTGCTTTTCCGTCTAAAAGGACCTTTAAGCAAGCTTAAAAAGCTTTAAATTTATTTTTCCAAAAATATTATTTTTTTATGTTTTTATTAGGAAAATTTTTCCAAAGTTTATTTGAGTTTCGAAATTGTTGAAATCTGTCGTTTAAGATCTCTAAAAAAAATTTTTACAACTAAGCATGTTCACGGATATTGAGTCAGCATCCGTGAACATGCTTCTCCAATGGGGCTTCGACTTTTAAATATCCTTATGTTAGTTAATTTATATTACCATATGTGCCATTTTCCCATTCTAACAATAAACGTTTCTTTATTTAATTTCTTAAATTGTCCCGAGAAAATAAATTTCCGTTGAAAAATATGTAGGTAATTCAATTTATTCGCACTCAGTCAGTTGCCCCTTTGTTCTTAATAATTTACAAAATATACACACGTTATTATTAGTAGATAAATACATAAATCCAAATAAATTCGTTAATTTATATTAAAACTTTAGAAAAATATTTTTAAAAATGAGCTATGAAACTAGTGATATAGGTCCACCACCAGATCCAGTTTTGGAAGTCCCCCCACCAAAAGATATAAAAATATTAGAAAGTGCTGATGATATACAACAAAGAAGAACTGAAGTTTTGGATCATTATGTCCAATTTAAAGATTTTGCAAAAACTAAAAGAGATCGTTTAGAAGAAGCTAGACAATTTCAATATTTTAAAAGAGATGCTGACGAGTTGGAAATTTGGATTTTAGAAAAGTTACAGACAGCTGCGGTTATTTTTAAATTAATTAAGAAGCTAAAAATTAATTTTATTTAAAGTATATTTTGTCAATATTAATTGAGGGGATTTAGTTGACTACAGTTAAACTGTAAATTGAGATATTAATATTTTTGGTATTAGTGAATGAGATAATCTTGAATAGGGTACACCCCAAGGAACCGCAAGGCCAATGTACCGCAGAGCTATAACTTTGTTCAAAATTGTCGAATCCGGGACGCACTGGTATGGTTCGATGCGCCTCGACGAGCTGAATCGAACCATACCAGGGCGCCACGAATTCGACAATTTTGGACAAAGTTATAGCTCTGCGGTACGTTGACCTTGCGTTACCTTGGCCTGCTCCCTCTTGAATATCATTCTCCCCCATTTTCCCCTTAAAATAGACATATTTAATACTCAGCCTTTTCTCCTTCTTTAACTAAAAATTCCAAATCTTTTAAGGAAGAATCATTTCGGGATCCAACAAATCTTCAAGCTAAAATTCAAAAACATGAAGCTTTTGTTGCTGAAGTTCAGGTTTCTTCTGTCAAAATTTCTTTCTCTAAATTTAAATTAAAGGCACATTCTAATGCAATAACAAAATTAGATAAAACTGGAAATGATATGATACAACATGGGCATTATGAAAAAGAAACAATTAGGAAGCGTTTAGATCGTCTTCATGAACTTTGGGACAGATTATTTTCGATGCTTGATAATAAAGGAATTAAATTACAGCAAGCATTGAAATTATTGCAGTTTATGAGAAAATGTGATGAAATGTTATATTGGATTAAGGATAAGGTAAATAATTAGGGTTGCCAAGATGGCCCGACTTGGACCGAAAGATCGAGACGGACCCAAGATATTTGGCCCGAAAAAGACTCGTACGGCCCGACTCGATAAAATTGAGGCCCGAAAAAATGACTTGACCATCGGTCCGACTCGAAAACGGCAACCATATAAATAATGGAAATGCTTGGGTCTTTCGAATATTTTTAATCCATAAAATAAAAAGTTGATTCCCTTTTGCCTGTTTTATGATGAAAAACTATTATCCATCTCTCATAATAAAATTATGGGAAATATGTATTGCTATATGGAATGCTTGGAGATAACTTTATAATTTTATAAATTAGTCCCGTTTTTCTCATAATTGAGTGAGTGATTGTAATTTATGTTAGCCAAATAAAGTTGGACAGCTACCTAAAATACATACTCAACACTAAGATTAATAAAAAAATAAATATTTGTAGATAGCATTTGTTTCTTCTGATGATATGGGTTCAGATTTGGAACATGTTGAAGTAATGCAAAGAAAATTTGATGAATTTTTAAAAGAACTGGATAGTCATCAATCTAGAGTTTTGGATATAAATCAGGAGGCTAATGCTTTGATTGATGAAGGGCATCCAGAACAACAACAAATAAATGCGAAAAGAGATGATGTCAATGAAGCTTGGCACAAACTTGGGACTTTGACTGCTACAAGGTGTGGAAATATTTGGAGGGGAGGAGAGAGATGGGGGATTTTGTTTTAGAAGCAGAAATTACGTGATATTATTTGAGTATAAACAGTTAGGCTGTCTATGGGATCGGCATTTTCTACCTTAACTCCATAAGCTCAACGAAAATTATTTTCTGTCTAAAAATTTTACTTAAGAATATTTGTGTAAAAACAATAGTAGTCGTTAAGGCTTATTATCACATCTCTCAAATAAAAATTTCAATTACTTTCTCTTAAACTTCTTTTCCAGACGTGAAGCTCTTTTTGGTGCTCAACAAATTCAACGTTTTTATCGTGATATTGACGAAACTTTGGCTTGGATTGGTGAAAAAGAATCTACATTAGCAACTAATGATTATGGAAGAGATTTAAATAATGTCCAAGCATTACAAAGAAAACATGAAGGGACTGAGAGAGATTTGGCTGCACTTGAATCTAAAGTTTTAAAATAATTTTTAGAAAAATATTTATTAATTTAAAGATGGAAAAATTAGAAACTGAAGCAGACCGTCTTTGTCAACTTTATCCAGAAAAATCAAAAGAAATTTCTACAAAAACTGATGAGGCTAAGATAAGATGGGAAACACTTAAACAAAGTGCTGAGGAGAGAAAACGAGCTTTGGACCGTTCTTATAATCGACATAGATTTATGGCTGATTATAGAGAACTTTGTGATTGGATTGAGGGAATTAAGGTAAAAATTGGGAATGATTAGAAAATAAAAAAATATTTAGATAATAATCACTAACCTTTCACTATTACATAAAAATTAAGGTTCTCATTGAGTCAGCAGAATTAGCCAAAGACGTAGCTGGTGCTGAAGCTCTTCTTGAACAACACCAAGAACATAAAGGCGAAATTGATGCTCGTAATGATTCTTTCATTCAAACTGCAGAAACTGGACAAAAATTACTTGATGAAGGTATTGAACAATCTGAGGAAATTAGACAATGTTTGCAACGCTTGGCAAATGACCAAGCTAGTCTTAAAAATTTGTGGGAAGAAAGAAGAATTTTGTATGAACAATGTATGGATTTGCAATTATTTTATCGGTTAGTTTTTTGAATTTTCTGAAATAAAATTTATTTTTTAAGGGACACAGAACAAGCTGAAACTTGGATGAACAAACAAGAAGCATTTCTTCAAAATAGAGATTTGGGGGATTCTTTGGATGCTGTCGAGTCTTTATTAAAGAAACACGAAGATTTTGAAAAATCTTTGGCAGCACAAGAAGAAAAAATACACGCTTTAGATGAATTTGCTACAAAACTTATTGAGGGAGGGCATTATGCAGCTGATGATGTTGCTGCTAGAAGAGAGAAATTGTTGTCAAGAAGAAGACGTTTAATGGAATTAACGGCGGAGAGAAGAGAAAAATTGAAAGAATCGTATAGACTTCACAGTTTTGACCGTGATTGTGATGAAATGCTTGGGTGGATGAATGAAAAGTTAAAAACAGCACAAGATCAGAGCTATCTAGATCCAACAAATATTCGTGGAAAATTACAAAAACATGCTAATTTTGAACAGGAACTCCGTGCAAATTCCAATCGTTTAGACGAAATTAAAGCCACAGGGCAAGAGTTAGTAGCACTTGGACATTATGCAAATGAACATATACAAACAAGACTTGAAGAAGTTGAACAATTGTGGGCCCAACTTGTGGAAGCTAGTGCTTTGAAAGGAGCTAAATTACAAGAGGCTAATCAAGTGAATTAAAATTGTTAAAGCACATAGTAATACTTCAAATTCTTTTTAAAGGAACAATTATTTAATCGAAATGTTGAAGATGTGGAACTTTGGTTAGGAGAATTAGAACGTAAACTTGCCAGTGAAGATTTCGGCAAAAATTTAAATACCGTCCAAAATCTTCAAAAAAAGTTGGCACTTGTAGAGGCTGATTATAATGCTCATAGTGAACGTTTGGATACAATTGGACAACAAGCACGTGAATTTGAATCTATAGGGCATTTTAATGCCCCACAAATTGTCAAGAAACAACAAGGATTACAACAACGTTTTGAGGCATTACTTGACCCGTTACAAAGAAGAAAAAATAAATTGGGTGAATCTTTGGTTGGACATTTATTGTTTAGAGATATTGATGATGAATTAACTTGGATTAGAGAAAAGGTAAAAAGAGAGAGATTACTGTAGAGATCGGAACGGGTCCGTGACCCGACCCGTTTCCTGGTTTTTTTGAAGCAACGGGATGAAACCAGGAACGGGAATTCCCGGTTTTCCCGGTCCGAGTCCCTCCCGGTTCCTTCAGAACTCGGTTCTCGGACCCTGTTTTTTAAGATTCCGAGCTCTAGATTATGAACTTGAATAAGTGTTGAATTTGGATAAGTATGTTGTCAGCGTTTGATATTACATTAATAGACATGAAATAGTCGACTTAAGGATTAGATGGAGGGCTCCTCTATTGTAGAAAGAGGGCCTGTATAATATGCACAAATTAACTTATTTTCCTTAGGAACAAATTGCCTCCTCCACAAACCGCGGCCGTGATCTTGTTGGTGTTCAAAACTTAATTAAAAAGCAAAACGCTTTAATGGTTGAAATTACTAATCATGAGCCACAAATTGAACAAGTTGGAAATGCTGCTGAACAAATGATACAAAGAGGGCATTTTCTAGCCCCTGACATTCGCGAAATGGTAATGGAAGGGTTGAATAAGCTTCTAATAAACTCATTTATTTTAAGTTGGCCCAACTCCGTGATAATTGGCGCGCATTGAAAACTAAAGCAGAAAAACGTAAACAAGACTTGCAAGACTCTTTACAGGCTCATCAATATTTGGCAGATGCTAGTGAAGCTGATTCTTGGGTGAAAATTTATTTTTTTTTCTAAAAATTATTTTTTCCCCCTTAGATGAGAGACAAGGAACCAATTGTTGGAAGTACAGATTATGGAAAAGATGAGGACAGTGCCGAATCTTTAATGAAAAAACATCGTGCATTAATGAGTGATTTAGATGCTTTTCGAGCAACAATTGATGAATTGAGAAGGGAGGCTGGACAATGCAAATATCAGGAACAATTGGGTGGACAACTTGGAAATGAATGTGTTGTAGCTTTATATGAATATACAGAAAAAGTAGAATTGAATATTTATAAGAATATTTATAAAAAATTTTTTTAGTCACCACGAGAAGTTTCTATGAAAAAGGGAGATGTTCTAACCCTTCTAAATTCTTCTAACAAAGATTGGTGGAAGGTGGAAGTTCAAGATCGTCAAGGATTTGTACCTGCTGCCTATGTTAAATATATCGAGCCTGGTTCTCAACATCACCACCAAGCAACTGCTGGCCAACCTGTAAACACTATCAATGCAAAACAAAGTCAGATTGAAGATCAGTACCAACGTTTAATGGTTTTGGGTGATCAGCGAAAGAGAAAACTGGAAGAGGCTTGCAAAGGTTGTTTAAAAAAACAATCCCAAAATTATCTTTGAAAACTTTTAAAGCCTACCAATTATTGCGCGAAGCAAATGACCTCGCAGAATGGATAAAGTCACGGGAAACTGTTGCTTCTCAACAAGAAATTGGTCAAGATTTGGAACATGTAGAAGTTTTACAAACAAAATTCAATGACTTTAAATGTGACTTGAAAGCAAATGAAGTTAGGTTACAAGAAATGAATCAAATTGCTACTAGGTGAACCTTCAAAAAATTCTATTTTTCAAATATTAATTTAATAGGCTCTCACAAACTGGCCAAACAGAAACAGCTGTTCGTATCCGCCAACAAATTGATGATTTAAATGCTCGTTGGAAAGCTCTAGAACAAAAAGCGGAACAAAGAGGACAACAATTAGAATCTGCACATGAAGTTCAACGTTTCCATAAGGATGTGGAGGAGACGAGGGATTGGATACAAGAAAAGAATGAAGCTTTGGATACTGAAGATTTTGGTCGTGATCTTCGTTCAGTCCAGGCTCTTCAAAGAAAACATGAGGGCGTTGAAAGGGATTTGGCTGCTTTGGGGGATAAAATACGTGCTTTAGATGAAAAAGTTGGAAAATTTAGATGCTTTTTTAAAAGCCATTTTTGTTTATTAGGCCAATCGTTTACGTCAAACACACCCTGAGGCGGCTGAGCAAATCTATGATTTACAACGGCAATTAAATGATCAATGGACAACTTTAACACAAAAAGCTAATAGACGAAAAGATAAATTATTAGATAATTATGGTGATAACAAGACTTTAAAAATTTTTAAAGTTTTCAATTTAGACTATCAACGTTTCCTTAGCGATTATCGTGATTTAATTCAATGGATTGATGGAATGGTTAATTTAGTCTCTAG